GGCCCTCGTCGCCACCGCTGGATTCGCCTCGAAGTCCTGGTCAGAACGCACCCCGGGAGAGGCTCGGGGAGCAGCGGTATCGGTACCTTTTTGTCTCCCCAGACACCTGAGTGTAGCTGAAGTCGGCGCCGCCCTGGGCGCTGGTGCTCATAGTCTGCCGAACGCTAATCAATCGCGATGGTCCTGTTCCTCCTTGCCCTCGCCTTCTACTTCCTGCGATCAGTTCCTCCTCCTCCTCCTCCTCCTCCTCCGCCTCACAGTCCTCCGTCTTCCTCACCGAGGCTGCAACAATCTCCGTCGTTACCAAAAAAACATAACCACCGAAGAGACTTCATTGGAGCTGCGAAAGCCTCCAGAAAAGGAATGGAATTGTCTTCCCTCCTCTCCCCTCCTGCCTCGTCTTCCTCGTCCCTGCACTCATCGTCCCATGCGGGGCCCTAGTGTCCTCTTCCCCAAAGCAGGGAGGTTTGCACAGAAACGCATCGCACCCTTGCTTAGCAGTGCAGTGCCGTAGTGTGTTTCTGTCCAGTCAAGGCGCTCTTGTTTTTTAATCGCAGGCTGGTTTATCCTGATTATCAGAGCGACGGGGCCGAACGGGCATGCCCTGTCCCTGGGCGCGTGGCTGATATGAGGTTCCGCGGTGCGGATTGTTGTTGTTGATGATGATGTTGTTGTTATTGTTGTTGCTGCGGCCGCTGCTGCTGATGCTATTGGTACTGTTGTTGATGATGGTGTTGTCGTTGTTGTAGGTGTTGGTGTTGGTATTGTTGTTTTTGATGATGATAATGCTGCTGTTGTCGTCGTTGTTGTTGCTGCTGTTGCTGTTTCTGTTGCTGTTGCTGTTGTTGTTGTGGTGGTTGTTGTGGTTGTTGCTGTCGTTAAACTCTCATGTCTGAAGAATAATTTGTGTTGATCCCCCTCACCAGTGCATACTGTTTTTCTCAGTCAAAGTGTGCTCCTCGACGCTCGCACCCTGTATTTTGACAGGGAAAGTATTGGTGGTCAAGCTGCACCCCTGCCCCCCCGGACTACATCAACAACGGCTCCCGCCTGAGATTTCCTCCAAATCCTAGACGCTTCGCGTAACCCCACCAGCCCATCCAGAAACGATGCCCAGAGGAAATGCCTCGATCAGGGAAGTGGGCAGCACACAGAGGAAGGGTCCCCCAGTGGAGGCCTCTTGAAGCGTCTTGGGGGCCTCTTGGCGGATTCTGGACGCCTCTTAGAGCGTCTTGGGGGCCTCGGAGAGCTTCTTGGGGCCTCTTGGGGTCTCTTTGGGGCCTCGTGGAGGCCTCTCGGGCGCGTGTTGGGGCCTCCTGGGGCCTCCTGGGCGCCTCTTGGGGCCTACATGCGGCCAGGATACACGGCAGCACCAATGGCCCGACCCACGCCAATGGCCAGAGCCCACGGACCCCGACACGGGACAGTCGCTGTACAAGACAGGAATCAACCACATCCAGTGGGACCTACCCGGGGAGACACCCGGCGAGGCGAGAAGGCGGCTTGAAGTCACATTGGGGACAATGTTCACAGGCACATGGCACGCTTACGCCAAGCGGCAGTCCGTGCCTGGCAGTAAAGGCGCGCTCGACCCGCTTCGGCACGACCCGCAAACCTGCCAACTCTTCCTGGAATCCTTCCGCAGCCACAGGTGCGACGTACGGGTCGTCAGCGACGTGCTGGGCTTCGACGTCGACTGGACTCGGCTGTGGCATCTGCACCCGGGCCGAAGCGGCAGAGCGAGCAGGGATCACCACGCGGCAAAGGGCCACCCGGACACCCAGGCACCCAGGAAGGACAAAAAACAGTGGCGGGCCGTCTTCCCACAGTAGCCGTGACTGCCCAACCTCAGGGCATCGCACGCGCAGGGATCAGGTGCGACCCCCCTCGTGCACGTTTCATCTACACGGCGCTCTCAGCCATCAATCGCAGCGCTGTGAGCAGAGGCGGAGGCTCTATCCATCGCAGTTGGGGCTAGCTACACCCCCCGCGTCAACGGAAGGCCGATGTATCATAGATGGGGCTCTCGCTGACGCAGCTTCCACCATATCGTGCGACGCGGCGGTTTGCTGCACCCCCCGTCGCACCGTCGTTCAGCCCCCCCACCACTCTCGGCGGCAAGTGCGCCCACTGTCATCAACTGCAGCGCTGAGAGCAGAGACGGAGGCCCCTGCCCGCCACGGACGGGGCTCTCGCAGACACACTTTCCATCAATCGTGTTCTGCGGCGGTTAGCTGCACCCCCCGTGTCAACGGAAGGTCGATGTATCATAGACGGGGCTCTCGCAGGCACCCTTGTGGCGGAACGGAGGGGAACGGAAGGGGCAGCTTGCAGTTCCAGCTATGTTGCGCATGTACCCCCCATGTGGCGCGTCCGACGCTGGTGCTCCCCAGCTCGGGCTGCATCGGCGTTGTCCTGCCCCCCCCCCCCCCATCTCTCCATGTGTCCTCTGCGGCGCTTAGCTGCACCCCCCACACGTGGAGACGCTCTCGGCGTGCAGCTTCTATCGATATAACGACAGCGCCGACAGCAGCCCCCACTGCAGTGCCGACATCAGCTCCGACACCAGCTCCCTCTGCAGCACCGACACCAGAACCGACCTGTTTCGACGCGCACGGAGGAGCGACGAATGCGAACGAGGCACAGCGTGGAATGTTCAATTCGTACCCGTTCATGCGCAGCTACTCCGGAGCCCACTATGACGACGACGACTTCACCACGGCGGACATGTGCTGCTCGTGTGGTGGAGGAGGGCTGACAGCAGCTCCGAGTGCCGCTCCGACGGCATCTCCGACAGAGGCTCTCAGGCTCCCACAGGGGCCCCCACAGTACTGCCGACGGCGGCTCCAACTGTGGCGCCAACAGAAGCCCCGACGGCGGCCCCTACTGCAGAACCTACGTGTATCTTGCGGCGGTCAGCTGCACCCCCCCTCTCCACGGAGGGCGCACTCTGATGGCCGCAGGCCGGCCACGGTGTGGGGCGGCGCCGAATGCGTGGCCTGGTGGTTCTCCTCTGCGCCCCCGGGGCTCGCCCGCGGCGGCTGCAGTAGCATGAGCGGGTGGCCAGGAGAGCAGGCTGCTCGGTGGATCCCCCCTTCCACGGATCGCTATGTTGCGTAAGACTGCTGTGCATGTACCCCCCATGTGGCGCGCCCGACGCTGGCACACTCCAGCTCGGGCTGCATCGGCGTTGTCCTGCCACCCCCCCATCATTCGATCAGCTCCGACACCAGCTCCCTCTGCAGCACCGACGCCGGCACCGCCATGTTTCGACACGCGCGGAGGAGCGTCGAATGTAAATGAGGCGCAGTGTGGGATGTTCGATTCGTACTCGTTCATGTGCAGCTATTCCAGAGCCTACTATGAGGACGACGACTTCACCGCGGCGGACTTGTGCTGCTCGCGTGGTGGGGGAGGGCTGACGGCAGCACCGAGTGCCGCTCCGACGGCATCTCCGACAGAGGCTCCTACAGGGGCCCCCGCAGTACTGCCGACATGACCACGACGACTTCACCACGGCGGACATGTGCTGCTCGTGTGGTGGGGGAGGGCTGACGGCAGCACCGAGTGCCGCTCCGACGGCATCTCCGACAGAGGCTCCCGCAGGGGCCCCCACAGCACTGCCGACAGCGGCTCCACTGTGGCGCCAACAGTAGCCCCGACGGCGGCCCCTACTGCAGAACCTACGGCAGTGCCGACAGCAGCTCCAACGATTGCGCCAACAGCAGCTCCGACGATGGCTCCGACGGCTGCACCCACTTTAGCGCCGATGGCAGTGCCAACAGCAGCTCCAACGACAGTTCCAACAGCAGCTCCGACCATAGCGCCAACAGCAGACCCGACGGCGGCTCCGACGGCTGCATCCACTGCAGCGCCGACGGCAGTGCCGACAGCAACTCCATGTGTCTTCTGCGGCGTTAGCTGCACCCCCCCCCACACATATAGACGCTCTCGCCGTGCAGCTGCTATCAATCACTCAGCAGGGCAGCGGTCTGTGTGCAGCCCACGCCACCCCCCTTCATCCGATGCTCGGTGCGAGCTGCTACCAAGACATGTGTACATTGCGGCTGTTGGCTCCACCCCCCCTCCACTGCGTGGTCAGACTCAGCCCTGGCTGCGCTCCAGCGCTCCATGAGCTGGTCGCGGCAGCTGTGGATCTCGGCGACATTCGTGGCCGTTACCTGCGAGGTTGCAGTGTACCGGCTCTTGGGCCAGAGCGAGTCCCCTCTCATCGTTGCAGCCCCGGCCCGTTCTTGGTTTCGGATACGATGACCGCCACGCCGGCCCCCCCCAGAGCAGCGGTGTGGTTCGTGGAGTGAGTGCCCTGTAGTTTCCTGCCGTTCCTTCGCCTTTGTTTTCCCGCCGACCCCACGTGCGGCTGTGGTGTCCGTGGATTTTGCGTTGAGTGGTTCAGCCTTCAACGACGTCGTTCCCGTTTTTCACTGCCTGCTGTCGGCTTGGGGAGCTGCTCGGAGTTTGGCGCCGCCAGGGCGACTGCCTCCGTTGCACTCGCACTGCTGGCCGCTTGTTCACTTCGGTGTGGCCGTCGCCTATGTGCGTCTGCCTCTCTAATGCGGAGCATTTTGCTCAGTGCATGTGCACCTCACGTATCGCGCGCACTGTCAACGCGACACGTCAAAGCGAAACTATCATTTTTTTCCGAGCGGTTCGCTTTCGATTTCGCTTTCTTAACTATTAACTGTTTCGGGAGGGCTTCGCTTTCGCTTTCGCTTTCGGTTACCATGCGCATGTGATTCCGTTTTGTGGCAGCAGTCCCTGGTGTTTTTTTGGTGCGCGTGACATCGCGCTGCTCTGCCAACGCGATAGATCAGGACGTGGAATGCACGAACGGACCATGCTGCTACCACGCGGAGATCCGAACTTCAGCCTTGCGTCCTCTCGGCGCTTTCGCTTTCTCGCTAACTAACTTCGCCCGGTGCGGCCTCGTCGTCTTTCGTAACTAACTTGTCGGGCCCGAAGCTCGCCGTCTTCTGAGTTTCGCTTTGACGTGTCGCGAGGACAGTAATTTGCCTTGATCCGTAGTCCCGGACATCGCTGTTGCCGCCAGACCGTGGTCGCGCGGCCGCCGAGCAAAAAGTACCCCCACCAGCCCATCCAGAAACGATGCCCAGAGGAAATGCCTCGATCAAGGAAGTGGGTAGCACACAGAGGAAGGGTCCCCCAGTGGAGGCCTCTTGGGGCGTCTTGGGGGCCTCTTGGCGGATTCCGCACGCCTCTTAGAGCGTCTTGGGGGCCTCGGGGAGCTTCTTGGGGCCTCTTGGGGTCTCTTTGGGGCCTCGTGGAGGCATGTGGGGCGCGTGTTGGGGCCTCCTGGGGCCTCCTGGGCGCCTCTTGGGGCCTACTTGGGAGCCTTGGGGGCGCTCTTGGAGCCCTCTGGGGCCATCTTGGAGTCATCTTGAAGCCTCGGATGGCCATCAGCAGCGAAAATGCGAGAAAGCCCAAAACATTCATTTCCTTTTGGTTTTGTAAGGATTTTGGCCTCTTCGGGGCATCCTGGAGAGGTCTTTGGCCACTTGGAGCCGTCTTGAAGCGGTTTCGGGGCCTCTTGGGGCATCGTGGGAGCCATCTTGAGGCATCTTGGGATATCTTGAGCCATCTTGGAGGTCAGGGGGTCGTGGAGTCATTTCAAGCAGTGGACCACAGGAGGATATCGATCACAGCAGGGGGGGGGGTGGGGCTCAATTAGCCCCGCCCCCTCCGGAGGCCAAAGTGGGGCCCCAACCCTAGTAAAACCAATGATTTTGGCTTCCTCGCCGAGGCCGTTTTGGACGCTCCAACGCGTCGCGGAACCGCCCGTCCAGGTCCAGGGGAGGCGGTCGGGGGAGGGGTAAACCCCTCCCCGAAGGGGAATAGGAAACTCCTTAAACAGCCTACGCCCAGAGGTCTGGTGGGATTTACTCAGTCTGAGACTTCCTCCCACTTTACTTAGGAACGGCGCTCCCGCTTGAGACTTCCTGAATTTAGTCCGGGTCAAACTGCGTTGTTGCTCCCCCGCGCTACAACAACAACGGCTCCCGCCTGAGACTTCCCCACAAGTTATTGAGAATCTCGCTCTCGCTTTGGACTTCCTAGCAATTTGCCACCGAACCTCGGCTCCCGCCTGAAACTTCCTGACACTGTGTTATAGAATCCTATTATAGAATCGCGTTTCCGCTTGGGACTTCCTCGCAACTTACCACCGAACCGTTTCGCTTAACATTTCTACGCAATTTATCCAGATGCCAGTCCTCGACACTCAGGAATCGCGCCCCCGCTACATATTACCTCGTGGTTCAAATAGGACTCACGTTTCAGCGACGCGCCCGCTCGACCCGCCCGTCGGGGCCTGCCCGCCCGACCAACCCTCTGAATGACTGCAGTCGCCGCTCGCTGCCCTTCGCCCGCCTTCGATGCCTTTCGCTGCCCGTACAGGTTCCGCGGTCGCCTTCGGTCGCTGCCCTTCGTGGCCCCGTTGCTGCCCTCAGTGGCCCTGTCGCTGCCCTTTGGGGCCCCGCATTATATGCCCTTCGTGGCCCCCGCTCGCACGCGCCCGTCGTGGCCCCATACGCATGCCCTTCGTAGCCCCGCTGTCGCCCTTCGTGGCCCACTCGCTGCCCTTCGTGGCTCCTTTGCTGCCCTCAGTGGCCCCGCTGTCGCCCTTTATGGCCCCGTATACGAATGCCCTAGGTGGCCCCCGCTCGCTCCCGTCGTGGCCCCATATGCATGCCCTTCGTGGCCCCGCTGTCGCCCTTTGTGGCCCCCTCGCTGCCCTTCGTGTCCCCGGTGCTGCCCTCAGCGGCCCCGTCGTTGCCCTCTGTGGCCTCGGATTTTATGCCCTTCGGGGCCCACGCTGGCTTTTCTCACGATTCACTTCGGAATCGCGTTATCGCTCGAGACTTCCCCGCGATTCATGCAGGACCCACGCTTCAGCAACCTGCCTGCTCGACCTCGTCGCTTGGGCCCGATCTGCCCGTTTGGTTCTACCACTTGTTTTCTGCTCTTTGCCCCCCTCCTGCTAATTTGTGTCGCGCTCCATTCTTCTCACTCCCCCTTTTCACCCGTCCTCTCTTTCCTTTGTTTAAGGGGCTGCATTAAATACACGTGGCAGGTAAGGAAGATCTATTCCAAGGGGGCACGATCGACGACGATGAGGGCGGGCGGGTACCGAGGGTTTGGGATATACGTATTGAATGGCACGTGAGCAGATAGGAGCGAGCAGTCTTAGAATGATTGTTGTTGTTGGTGGTAGAGGGTTACTGGGTACCCGTGCGCCCCCCCCCACCCACACCCACACACCCACACCCACGCCCACACCTACACCCACGCCCCTACCCACACTCACGCCTACACCCACACCCACACCCATCGAGTACCCACCGACGCCCAATTTCGGCACACCTCTCACCAGGATCGTGGCCCTGGCCCCATGCGGAGGTCTTCCGAAGGTCCCAGTGGCAGGGCCCGCATGTGTCCTCGGGCCCGATCCTGGCACACCGCTCGCGAGGATCGTGGCCCTGGCCCCATAGGGAGCTCCACCGAGCGCACATCAGCTTTATTTCGGCACACCCCTCACGACGATCGTGGCCCTGGCCCAAACACGGAGCTCTTCCGAAGGTCACAGTAGCAAGGACCGCATACGCCCCCAGGCAGAATTTCGTCACACCCCTCACGAGGATCGTGGCCCTGGCCCCATAGTGGGCCCCACCGAGGGCCCATCGAAGCTTCCTTTCGTCACACAGCTCACGAGGATCGTGGCCCTGGGCCAATACGGAGCTCTTCCGACGGTCCCAACGGTCCCAGTGGCAGGGCCCGCATGCGTCCTCGGACGTGATTTCAGCACACCCCTCATGAGGTCCCTTGCCCTGACTCAAACACGGAGCTCTTCCGAAGGTCCCAGTGGCAGGGCCAGCACGCGTCCCCAGGCCAAAGTTCGGCGCACCCCTCACGAGGATCGTGGCCCTGGCCCCACAGGGAGCTCCACCGAGTGCCCACCGACGCCCAATTTCGGCACAGCTCTCACAGGGATCGTGGCCCTGGCCCCATGCGGAGGTCTTCCGAAGGTCCCAGTGGCAGGGCCCGCATGCGTCCTCGGGCCCGATCCTGGCACACCCCTCACGAGGATCGTGGCCCTGGCCCCATACGGAGCTCCACCGAGGGCGCACCGATGCTTTCTTTCGGCGCACCCCTCACGAGGATCGTAGCCCTGGCCCCATGCGGAGCTCTTCCGAAGGTCGAAGGTCCAAGCGGCAGGGCCAGCATGTGTCCCCAGGCCCACGGACGGCCCATTTCGGCACACCCCACACGACGATCGTTGCGTTGACCCCGTTCGGAGGTCTTCCGAAGGTCGCAGTGGCAGGGAACGCATGCGCCCCCAGCCCGAAGTTCGGCGCACCCCTCACGAGGATCGTGGCTCTGGCCCCATAGGGAGCTCAGCCGAGGGCCTCAGCACGGAGCTTCGATTATATGTCGTAGTAGGGGGTCTTTACTATGAGTCACAATAGGGAGCCCCTACTACGACTCATAGTAGGGAGTCCCTCCTACTGTGACTCATGGTAGAGAGTCTCTACTCTGAATCATAGTACGGTGTCCATACTATGGGCCATAGGAGGGGGTCCCTACTATGACTAATGATAGAGAGTCCTTAGTATGAGTCGTAGTACGGAGAGGGAGCTCTTAGCTTCTGGTATGACTCATATGATGGAGCTGCTAGTATAAGTCGTAGTCGGGATTGCGTACTACCAGTCATACTAGGGACTCCGCACTATGACTCATGGTAGAGGCCCTCTGCTATGAGTCATAGTACGGAGTCCCTACTATGACTCATCGTACAGACCCCCTAGTATGAGGTAGTCCCTACGATGACTCATAGTGGGGAGTCCTCACAGAGACTCGCTCCTATGACTCCTTAAAGGGAGTCCCTACAGGGAGTCCCTACTATGACTCATCGTAGGGGATCCATATTATGATTCACCGTGGGGAATCCTTGCAGGGACTCCCTGCGATGAGTCGCAGTATTGTCCTTACTATGAGTCATAGTACGGAGTCCATGGTATGAGTAGTAGTACGGAGTCCCTACTAGGAGTCATAGTGCGGAGTCCTTAGTACGAGTCCCAGTAGGGAGCCTCTACTATGAGTCATACTACGCGGAGTCCCCAGTATGAGTCGTAGTACGGAGCCCCTCGTAAAAGTCCCAGTAGGGAGTCTCGAGGCCTCTATTATGAGTCGTAGTGCGGAGTCCCGAGTAT